CCTGCTGAAGGCGTGGGCCACGCAATCGCCGCGGGACGCGCTCGATATCAGCAAGGACATGATCATGGGCAGCGGCAAGTGGGGCGAGTCCAAGAACTCCACCATGTCCGGCGCCACGTACGCTTCCACCCCTCTCTTCCCGGCGCCCGTGGCACGACCGACCAACACACGGCCGCACACATCGCACACAACAGGACCAAGAGCTCGAAGAATACGAACTCGCACTCGCAGAGCTTCGAAGACGACGAGAACGACGGCAGCATCAACAACGAAGACCTTTAGAGGATCGAGAGTTTTTTTACAAGTTTTCTGTACCAGTAGTATCGCATCGCCACGCCCGTGCCCATACTTTGTGGCCGAGGGAGCGGCAGCGCAGACAGCTAGAGATCATCTCCCCAGTTCCCTCATCGAGCGGTAGATTTTGCGGCCGGTTGTGCTTTCTTCTCGACTAAAGTTTTGGCGGGAAAAAATGGCGGGAAGTGCAATGCGACCCAAGACGGGACTCGCCGTCAATCTCACAAGAAACTCTAGGCAAAGGAAGAAGCAGATGGCCACCGCACTTGCCCCCACACCTCCTCCTCCCCCTCCTCCTCCCCAGTATCGCCGTCTGGCTTATAGGGCACCTAAGCTTCCCCGGGAGGTAAGGACCCTTGCCGGCCACCCAAGACCCGCAACCCGGGACAGAATGGACTGGTGACGCTGGACGAAGTTGAAGAATCGCACGAGTATGTACGTGCCATTAAGCGTCTGAGATCCTCGAGGAGAATCGAAGTGGAAGCAATCCTGCATGACCTCTAAGTCAAGACAGCCTTTCTTGGTGAGTTGCCCCTACTTGGAAGAGCACCCACGTCGGTCTTGAGAGTGGCTTCCGGGCAAAGTAACTGAGCACGGCGTGAGTATGCTTGCCCTCGCCCTGCTGCCAGGGAACGTGTTGGACCACCTCCTCGCCTACTACGAACTCCCGATCCCAGCGACCAAGGTCGCCAAGGCGCAAGCCCTCGTCCAGCACTTGGGTGCGAGCAATTGATTGATTGTTTCTTTCGAACCTCCACAAGATTTGTAAATACACATCTCAAGGGCTCAAGATCCTGGAAAGATTTTCCACCTCTTCGCCCCGCCCAGAACTGGGCTTTAGTAGTCCTCTTCGTCCTCAGCCGCAGCGGGTTCCTCCTGGTACTCGGATTCGCCCTCCTCCATGCCGAGCGCCTCCCGCTCCTCCTCGGCCTCGTCGCGCTCCTCCTCGAGGCCCACCAGCGCCGACGTGTCGACCTCGTCGTCGGCGAGCTTCCGCTTCTTGGCCGCGCGCGTGGACTTGGGCCGCGGGGCGAGAACAGGCTTCTTGGCGGCCGCCTTC